CCTCCCGCTTTAATAAAAAAAAAGTACAAGAAACACAACTTTAAGCTGGCCTGGCAGAGTGGAAAAAACATCATAGAAATGCAACCAGTTTAAATATTAAGTTTCGTATTAAAGCATGTTCTATAGTGTGTGAAGACAAGGAACTATATGATAAGGGTTTGCAATTTACATAACAATATACGGTGATATGATATAAAAAAGTGATGAAGAAGAAGTGATGTAGGGGGCCAGACAAGTTATAAGACCCCTAGAAACTATAAATGACTTGTACTATAGATGTAGAACAAAGTTATCACATGACAAACAACCGTCCAATGAAATACCTTGTTGGGAATCCCATCTTACTAATGTTGACTGTTTCAAGAACCCCGCATGCTTGTAATTGGTCCACAACTTGTTGGTTATTGAACAAATCAGGTTGGCAGTTATTGTTGGGTTTGATACATCTTATGTAATGGGGTGTTGTACAATTCAATATAGCCATAAGCTGGTCTAGAGAGGTCTAAAATGAAGAAAGAAAAATAAATTTATTTAATCCTGAACTAAAAATGTGCATGCATGAAACAGACCAAATTCAAAAAAAATAACTTGCTCTGCCGATTCATTACTTGTAATCATTTGGGGTTGAAATGTGTAAGTGTCTACAATTTGCTGAAATCAGTCGTTGGTGGCGCTGGTGTGAGATGTAGAAGAAGAAAATCTAAGTTTATACAGACAACAAACTTTTCCAAAGAATGATTTTCCAGTTTGTTTATTTCTGTCTTGTTTTTTTGAAATAATTTTGAAGCAGTTTCTTAAACATTCACTTTTGGCTTTATGAATTTAAACATAAAACGAAAGTTTGCTCTCTGTCCCGAAGCAATTTTTTGGACAAACAGGGTTGGCTGCCCTTGAATAATTGTTTTAATCAAAAATCTGTCGCTTTCTATAGTGTATACTAAAACCAGAAAATGTTGTTTAGTATGTAAGAACAGATCAAGTGTAAAAGACACTGTACAAACACTATAAAATGTCATGTGAGAGTACCAGAATGGAAATAAACAATCAAACGTACCTTGAACTTGGAAACCACGGTAACATCAGATTGTTTACCCTTCTTGCAGCTACCACTCATGTCATCCTAATGAAAAAAAAAAAAAAAATTATTATTTTAGACATAAAAGTAGAAAACCAACAACTACCAGTAAAATAATAATTAAAATTCATATTATACTTATTACAGAGATATGCATGAGCACCTGTAAAATGTTTTCAGTCTCAATTGATCCATCATGTCATCAGTTTGGAAGGCTTTTTATGTTTTATGTTTATGTTTTTAAATTTGAGTGAATCTTTCAATGTACCTGAATGTCCACTGAGTAACTGCTGAAAATTTCACTTATAAAACGATTGTTGCTGTTCTTCACCAATTCAACCAGCTCATCAGGAATTGAGTCCTGGAAATAATAACATAGTTATATATTGAATTCTACCTTTCAAATCAGACATTTTCAATGTCCACACTCATCACAAATATTTGCCTTATGACAACACTTTGTCAACTGTCATCAACTACTGCTGGTTTCAATCATAAATGCTGTCAAAAAACGTTTGAAAGTGCAGCTACAAACCGTGACCGCCATATTGTTCCGAACACTGAAACAGCAACATTGCCAGCCATGTTGCTGACTGGTTTGCTTAGCAGGCTTGGATATCGTTGCGCGATTGGAACAAGTTGGATCAATCCAACCTAAACAGAGGACGAATGACTACTAATGGGAAAATCAGACACATTGGAAAATATTCGGAATCACAATGCGATTGCTTTTTATTACCGGGGGGTATATTTTATTTAATTATATACATTTCTACTCAACAACAAAGTCATATAGACAGAGGTGATGGTGTGTCTGGTGCGTGTCAATTAAGCCGAACGGCTCACCCTCTTAGAAGTGGTTTGAACTAACCAGTTCTAATCATGTAACGATCTCAAGACGTGCTTAACCAACCACTCAGCAACTTAGCTGGTAATGCCGATGTTTTGGTGTATGGCGGTGACAGTAAGTTGCATTTGATACACTTGTGTTCATACGTTCAGCCATTTTTATTCACGCTAGATAATTGGTATAAACATGTTAGCATAAACATTGAGCAACGACTGTACTACCGCGATAGTACAATACACGAGAAGTATACAAGACAAGTACGGTGATCATATAGACTAAAGCATAGCGAAGGTTGATGCAATCTCATACTGCCTGAGAGCATTTTTTTTGGTATATAATCTTGGGATAAGCTTAATATTATTAAATACAGCTTTTCCCTCCTTGTAAATATAATAATTTTAAGAGTGAAATAATGGCACAATTATGAGATTTTTTATGTGAGTTTATATTGTCAAGTGCGATGTAAACAAAGGAAAGTGTTCAAATGAGAAAAATTATTTGGAACGTGTTCAACGTTATTGACGAAATTTCACTCTAAATAAATAAAATTTCAAAAATTGGAATTAGTGTAGATATGTTTTGAAGAAATGCATATACAACTTTTAACAGATTCGTAAATTTTACGTAAAAATCGTAATTTCACTGCTAGATGTATCAATAGTAATTCATGTTTACTCCCGCACCACATGTTGCAACATCCTCTTCACGCTACAGTGAAATAATATGCATAATTAAATACCTTATTTTTCTCGATGAGCGAGTCTGTCTGATACGTGACTTGACCAGCGAAATGTGCAATTACAAAAGCCGGTGTAGTGACTGATATATGTGGTTTGCTGATAGCTGACCCACGTAATGTATTGTGTACTCGATCAGTGAAGCCTCTCACGTCACTGGCTCGGTTAAGTCGACATTCCTGAAAAAATAATATCAAAGTATACTTTTCAATTTAATTTAATTGTTTTTTTTAATTTCAGTAAAAATTTAATCCAGAATTGCATTATTTAATAATTCAAGTTGACAATTCTACATCTTTTATATATTAATATTTTTTACATTATTACATGTACATTTGTAACTGTATTGTAGTTGATTTTAGATATCTAACTTGATATGTTTATTTTAACACCTTTATTACATTGTATAAACCAAAATAGATATGTAATTCATTCTATAAGCTTGTAATAAAGAATTATTTTATCTTATCTTATCTTTAATCTTATCTTATCTTATCTTATGAAATACTAGTAATATTTTTGCTCTTATAAAAACACAGAAGTGCTCATAAAATTGCATTTATTTTAGTTTTGATCTCTACAATTCAACATGTTTTGACCAGACATACTTCTGTCATTTAGATAAGTGCATGTGCTAATAGAGCAAAAAACGTACTGTCAAATTTTGGCTATTTTTGCTGAAAGAATGATTCAGTGAAAATAAAATCCAGTGAATATACCTTTTTTCCTATATTTTAAATTCATCTCGTCAAAAATCAGTGAAAATAAATTCCAAACAAAACACCCAAAAAATCTTTTTAGCGAAAATTAATTCCAGCTAAAATAAATTATTTTACAGTAGTATAATTAATCTCATTCTAAGCTGCCATGACATGTTTATTGTAGCCAAATGATTTTTATCTCTAGGGAATACCAATAATAATTCATCACAATCAACACTTCCATGGTTGGGTTCTCCCACCAACTGTGGTAGACAGAGGTTAGCCACATATGACCAAGGCATTTTAAGACATAAAGTTCTTATTTTGGGACTGAGCGAAAGACATTTTCCGGAAGAAATGTCAGTCGGATTGTATTCAAGCTACCTCCTTATATGTCTTACCTCAGTCATCAGTGAAAAGACACTAATCTTTCCTTCCAACAATTCTAGACAGGGTCTGTTGTCAGTGAAATTAAAATATGTCCATGAGATCGATTCCTTCTTGTATTCTTCCTAGAATTTAATGAAAATAATTTGAGAAATATTAATAGTAATTTCTAAATTCCCATCAAAATAATATCAGGATTATAGTAAAATGCATACTTTCTCTAATTTTGCTGATAAGTCAAATCCACTACATTAATTCATGTGAAAATGTAAATTACAATACACTCATTGATTGACAGAAATCTGTGAATTTAAAAGACATTAATATTGAAAATGTATCTCAGTGAAAATTCATGTGTTTATATTATTTCTTATAACATTTGAACAATGAATGATTTTGTTTTCAACAACTGAAAGACAGTATTGAACAATTAAAGTGAATTACTGTAAAATGCTTAATTTTCATTGCTAGGAATTTCAAGATTTGGTAATTTATGCGATTCATGAAAGTCGGTGACACTACGTGCCGCAAGACTCTGCATAAATGTTCACTTCAACAAACTTTCACAATTTTTAATGATTTGCGCGATTCATGAAAATGTCTCTCATGAAGTTAAAATAAATTTACAGTGTTGTGTATTGATGAACTTTCAGACAGTTTTTAAACATATACCTGTTCAGCTTTCAAAAAGTGAGACACAAAATGTTGTTGAAGTTTCTCATTAGCATAATTTATGCATAGTTGTTCCAGACTGTTATTCGTAAAGCTTTCAAAACCATAGACATCCAAGATACCAATGAATGAATGACAACTGTTTGCATGAGCACTAGTGTTCTTGTTAATAAACTCCACTAACCAGTTGAACAACCTAGAACAAAAATAAAATCCATTTATGGCATAGTATGCATTAATTATCAAATTTTAAGACATATAGTTTTGTTTATAGTAATATAGTTGGAACATAAACATGTCAGAAGTGTGGATGCAGAAGATGATGCTTGATTATGATAATTTTCTAACATTAACCTTTTCACCACCAGACTTTCTCGCCCGAATTTTTGCTTGCACTTTTTTCTTATATTCTTCAATATTTGAGTCAAATTTTCAGTTTTTAACCAAAAAATTTACTATTTTTGTTCCAATCTTCTGAAAGAAAGTGCAGAATATTTTGTGAATTTGTGATGAATGGAGAGAATTGGTGGTGAAAAGGTTAAAATGATTGACATTCAGTCATCTTGTAACTGATCGTTAAACAATTAATTGCTCTTGAACAGTATCAATCATTTTGAATCCGATTTGAAAAACAAAATCCATCTAAGATCCGGTTCGGGAATGCCAGAAATGCTTGATTTTGGTGATTTTTTAGCCATCTTGAATCAGATCGTGAAACAAATTATTGTTCATATGTATAAAGAATGCATGATAAATGTATGAAGTTTGAATGTAATCGATCCAGGCATGTCTAAGATATAGGTTCAGAGGCACACACGTACAGAGGTCAATACATACATTCATGTAAGGACCCATTTTCGAACGATGTATGAATGGGGACAAAATATATATAAACTGAGAAATAGAGGATGCTGCACAAATTTCATTCGTTCATGACAACCATGTATACCAAGCAATCCTTCCAGGTATTAACACTCCACCTGGCTGTGTGGCTTTATAAAGACATACACACCTGGAATACAGTAGCTTAGCCAGGCAATCCCTTCTGGTGACACACTCTACCTGGCTACACGGCTTCATAAAAACACTTTTTCTTCTACTATGGGATGCTGTTATTCTTCTGATTGTTAAACACTGCAGCAGTTCATTGTGATCAATGCCAAGCAGGGAGGACGACTTTTCAATTGTCAGCTGACAGTCTATGGACGATACAAGTTACTATCATAAATGTATCACAGTACATCAACGTTTAAATTAATTCAGATTTAATTTGAAATTTTTATTATTATATTAATCCTATGAATGCCATAATTTTCCGCTGAAATTTTATTGCATATTTTTATGTATTTTGTCATAACTTTTTTTGTTAATTTTGAACAAAATGGATGCAGTTTCCAAATGGCTGCAGGTATCAATAAAAATTTGTGATAAAATATAGAAGAAATTAATGCAGGTCTATTTTGTGAAATATTTTATATTTTGGACACAAGCACATTAGAGGAATGAGAATACAGTAACTTGAAGTTTTGAAGAATCGCGATTCAATTACCTAAATCATATTCGTCAACGTCACATGGAACTGAGCTGAGTTCTTCATCTGTGATGAACACAATGTTACCAATATAGAGGATCCCACAAAGTAACTGAGAACAAACAATAAAATCAGAATCAGACAGAATTGTTATACATGTATGGTCACCTACAGGCAAATTGGCAACATTGCAGCCCAGTATTCACTGTCATACAAGTTTGACTGAAATTGGCAGTGAAAAATGGCCATCTATCCACCATAGTTGATCAGACCAAAACCAATGATCAAAATAGTAAAACTAGAATACCTGAAATATACAGTTTTGCTGTCTCTGTGACAACCCCACGCTGTGCATGGCTGACTTAGTCGTATCCAAAGTGTCACTGTCCAATTCATTAGTGTGTTGGTAGTCTTCACAGCGTGACAGGTAGTGGTATTCTGTGGTTTCTGTTATACCCCACTGATCTCTGTCTTCATCACTGCATCCTTGTAACATCTGCAAGAGAAAAAGTTACTAATTAATAGTATACTGTAAAGGGGTTAATTATTCACTGGGTTTTAATTTCGTTCATTTCACTGACTGGAAAATGCGCTAAATTAAAACCCAGTGAATATGTAAAATTTAGCATAGAACACATTATCTAAATGATAAAACCGTGAATTTAAAACCCACAGAATATGCCTGAAATTGTAAATCAGCGAAATTTAAACCCAGTGAAAATTAGTCATTTTACAGTACCCTCGATAATATATTTAGTTATTGGATGACAAACACGACTCAAGACTCATTCATAATTAGGCACCAGTTTTTTCGTATGACTTTGCTACACATTCTGACAAAGTTATTTTTTACGTGTACTGAAGACAGGAACAGAACACCACAGCTTTAAGTCTTCGTCCAACTATAATTTTTGCATGCCTTGCAAGTAGACAGAATGTACTGTTTTCTTTCATTGAGCGCTCAGTCAAACTCTGATTTACCCGATACACAAACCATTATGCCACACATTCACACCCTTCAGTGTGTTGCGAATTGCACACTTTCTGCGAGTTGTAAAGTATTTTAAATGAATACATTTTGTAACTGTCTCCAACAATACAGTGAGTATTACACAGTATGGTGTGGATTCCCTAATTGTAGCAGGAAGGTTTTTGAACTTGTCATAATGTATAATATATTGAATGAAATAATTTTAATAATATTAACAAGGAGTTATTGCCAGTGAAAAGATTATCATCAGTAGCTAGCAAAAGCTACTTACTCCACATGTAGCTGGTTATATCACTCACCTGGTAAAAGATATGGAAATTTCTTTCCCCAATTCCTTGACGAACAACTCTAGTTTTCTCCAGGAGATATGTTTTGATAGACGCTCCTATGATATAGTTTGATCTGAGGAAAAGAATTCAGAACATTTCACCAGTTTAACCTTTTCATCGACAGACTTTATTGCCCAAAATTTGTTTGCACATATTTTTAATATTTTTCCATATTTCTGGAAATGAACAATAATTTTGGAGCCAACAAATAAAATTTGAATCAATTTTTAAATTTTACTCAAAAAATTTAGGTATTTTGTCAAAATAATCTGAAGGAAAATGCAGACTATAAAAAAGACTAACACTAACGAATGCGACTTTGGGGGAACCTTGGTTAAGGTCCGCAGGATCTTGTGTTCGACGGAGCCTGGTTGACGCCAGGATAGAGCATTAAAATTGCCATTTCACGGAGAGATGGCCACACAGCCCTGTCATGTAGTCCCAAACATGAATATGACTTCTGTATCAAAATGCACTATGTGTCAGCACTAGCACTTGCAATTTGCACATACAAAAAAAAAAGTCAGGAGAGACAACAGTGACACTCAATGTCCGAAACTGTCCTGGCACAAAAACATTTAAAAAAAAATTGAAACTATTTTGTGATGAAAAGAGGGAACTGGTGGTCAACAGAGGCCATGAATTTACTTGTAGTAAAACTCAATGATTTTACATTCAATTCAAGATCTAGTGTATTGTGTGAAAGATGATTGCCAAACATCTATCGCAAGAATTAAATGATTTAATTTGGAACTTTAATTTCCTTTGCTACAAGCTCAATATGGAAATGACTATCTTTCAGAGGGGAATATGACGTTGAGATACCCTAACTTCATCAAAATTAACCATCATCATATGTGTACAATATAGCACAACAATATGCAAGGAAATACCATAAATACCATACCATGACGCCATGAACTTTGTTTCTCCTGTTTTCCATTTATTCACGCGGTGAACAGAAAATGGTCTAATAATTTGTATATCTTTGAAAAATGTTTGTGAATAATCACTCACCTGTTTAACTGTAACTGGATATATTTACCAAATCTACTACTATTAGAATTCTTGGTTGTCCCAGCATTTCCTGCATTAGTTACAATCAGACATAAAAACAAATTTGTTGAGATGCTAACAATTGGTACAGATAAGTATCCACCAATGCGCAGCAGAGGTCTATGTGACGGTGTACTGTCTGAGTGCATACTTTAAGATATTCTCTTAATAATCTTATTATTATACATCTTTTCCTTTTCCAAGAATACATCATGGGAATGCCGTAATCCAAAAAGTTTAGAACAGGATCTACGAGCTTCTTTATGTGGAGTCTGGTCAAACCCTGGTGGCAGCCATGTTTGTTTTTATTATTAGAGGACGCTTACACAAAAATGTACGTTCGCATTTCCTTATATGGTAGGTATAATAAATATAATAGGTAATATATTAGGTAAACCAACATGCTGATCAATAGACAGTAGTTATAAGCTAGATGTAAACTGGTTTTCTCTTCAGCTTTTCTTATCAGGTGTGTAACAGTAGATTCAATTTTAGAAATATTTCTTTATCTGTAATTTAACATGTTGAAATTTCTCACCCATTTTTTTCAGTGCACATTACTGTAAAATCTGTATTAGAAGCCGCGGCTTCTATTAAAATGGTAGAATGCAACAGAGGGGATGCGGCTTCTATTAGAGCATCTACACATATGAGAAATGATGAATTTTTGGTTCTCAATTATTCAAATAGAATGGATGCGACTTCTATTAGGGATGCGGCTTCTAATACAGATTTTACGGTAGTTTTTCAAAATTCACGCCTCCCCCTTGAAGAGTTTCTGATGCTCAACCAATTAAAATCATTCTTTTTGGAGAGTAGGATTGTTATCAGTTTTGTAACACTGAAGATACACTGTAGAATTTGTGTCGCAGATTTGGACAACACCGATCATGGACACATATAGTTGCCATTCCCATATGTTACAAAATCAACAAAGGCTGGCAACTCCCAAGAAACTCAGAAATGTTTTCAAATGGAAAAACATTGAAGACAACATTTTTGTTCAAAGTTATAACAATTTGAAGCTGGAGTTGCGGAGCCACCACTTACCAAATGCTTCTAATATAGGATTGGAATTCAGTATTCTCTTTTCTATTCTACAAATTTTAGAACAAGGTGAAAACCTGTAAAAAGAGAACATTTTGCTAATTACTATGATACGTCACTGGTGATCAAGACCAATAACTTACAAAAATATATGAATCACATTATTGAGATCAGTATTATTGTAGGCATTTGTAACTGTACATCAAAAATTACTCTCATTCATCAATTTTAAACCAAAAAGCTATAAATTTAATCAATTTTATATTCTATTTAATAATCCAACTAAATCTCACCCTTCTGCAGAAACAGCGGTAGTAGCAAGATATCTCATAACACATCTCGCGGTCCATGTCTGAAAAAATAAGAGAACAAACTTATTTTAAAACTTATTTAAAATAGAAAAATTGTCTTGGCCATGCGAGTCAATATTCAGCCAGTTAGTTTATTTTTTTTGTCTTTTTATTTGCAAGACAGCTTGTGAAAAAATTGTTACAGTCAGTATTTAATGTTTTTAGCGTGTACCCACCTTACCAGCACCACTTTCACCGCTAACTATAACAGACTGATTAACGTGACCAAGCTGTCTTTTCAGATTACAATGAGCCTGCTCAGCAACTGCAAACACATGCGGTGGTTTGTTCTGAAAAATAACAATACTAACACTCAAATAAAGTAATTTGTTATATTAAGAAGGTTGACATGTACTTTTGTGTATATTGTCTACTGTGGAGTTTTTTTTTCTGCAGTTTATTTTCTTTCCCATATTTATATGTAATGAATGTCTAAAAGTAGTGAGAATCAATTGTTGATTTCTTACCTTAATACAATTATTATTGTATAATTTCACTTTCTTTGCACTGTAGAGATGTGGAAGCTCGGTAAATGGATTGATAGCTAATAGCGTGATACCCGCCTTGGTATAGCACAGACCAGCTTTGTAGCGTATTCTTAATGACTCTAAAACTGCAGTGAGTAATTAAAAAACAGAAAGTATATTTTATTGAGTACAGTCTTCAGTTGTTGTTGTTTTATTTCCCATATTATATAAGATGAAAAAAGTTACAGTAGGAAGTAAGTAAATAAATAAATGTATAAAAAAAAGTATAAACAAATGAACAAACAAACAAACAAATAAATATGTATAATTGTACGACAGTTAGTGATATGTTAACATATTGCATGTATGTAAATGTGAACAAAGTAACCCTGGATGTTAATATTTCAGGGCAAAATCACATTTAATAGGAATAAACTTAAATGGTACGTCACAGATGAGTTTTTTCAACTCTTATGTTACGAGAATAAAAAGAGAGAATGGCAATTATTTGTGGTAATCCCTCTTTTATTATGTATATGTTTAAGGCTATAGAATGGAATTAATTGGGTTCTTTAAAAACTATTGAAAATACTAGGTTGAATGTTCAGAAACGATTTGAACATCCCATTTAAATCTGCACTTTCCTTCAGAAGATTGGGACAAAAATAGACAATTTTTTTTAGTAAAAACTAAAAATTTACTCAAATTTTGTCTGTTGGCTCCAAAATTTGGGTACATTTCCAGAAATATTGAAAAATATAAGAAAAAAGTACATAATAATTTGGGCGAGAAAGTCTGCTGGTGGAAAGGTTAATACCAATTTTCAAAAAATTTAAATTTAAAATTTATACATTTATACAAAAAATCGAATCAGCTTTGTTCAATTCCGACCAAATACAAGACGTATTTGTAACTTATAATTTCATTACAATTGTGAACTGTCAAGCAAGAAACATAAAACCTGATTGAATTCATGCGAATGTTGCAGCACATCTTTTGGTATTGCTCCTGACAGAAGCACCCTGGGTAATGATGATGAAGAGTTAAAAGCCATGTGTTACCTGTAGCTTCATGAAGTGGGTTTAGTTCACACAAATCACATATATTTTCGTAGTCATTTTCCCCATATAGTAGAGGGTAGTCTGGCTTGGACGTAATTACACTCTCCTGTAAACACAATATAAACAAATGCAGTCACAAGTGAAGGAATCTATCAATCTGACAATTTCAGAATAAAATTTAAAAGCCACCAAAATTTTGAAATAAAACAGACCAAAAACAAGGCCACTTACTTTAAAATAAAAATGTACTCACCACGCCATCTTGGTATTTAATTATAATTCTTGTATCTTTCATTGTATCTATAATAGTAGCGACATTCCATACATCTTGCCTGTCACTGACCCATATTTTCATACCCTGAGAGGAATTCACATTTAATGTCATAGGCTATATTTATTTACTGTCTCAGTCATTTTATTAATGCAGTTCAGCTGAATTCATATTTTGCACTACTGAGCATTGCGAATATATGCAATGCATTATGGGAGTGGACTTCCTACTAGTATTATATACTAGTATAATGCAAACTACACATTTCATTATTTTTTGAAATATTTTCAAAATATAAATATTCATATCAATAATTCAGTAATATACAAGCATTTCACTGTCATCAAGCAAAACATGTTATGAAGAAATAATTTCACTAAAGAAACCTGTGTGTTTATCTACCTATTTTTTCGATCCTTTTTTTTCACCTTATACGACTATGTGATGTAATTTCTTGTGTGTTGTATTTTTATATCATTAAAATGAAATAAAAACATTAATTAAATGAAAAAAAAACTGTGCAAAAATCTCAAAAATTTCAGATTCTTGTAACTTAAAAAATTGTCCAGTAACCACGTTTTTTTTTTACATTTTGGTATCCTGATGGTATCAAGGATCTTGCCACGTTGGTCGGCCCAACCGGCACTCAAAATTAGCGACCACCCAAAAACGCTTTCGACCAGGACAATTATTATTATAATTACATACCGACCGGCACGCATCCTGCCAGTTGTGGATTATAAGTTGTAAACCAATAGATCTAGTCGCATGATGTGGTAGCTGATTATAAACAACACTAGTCAATTATATAAAATTAACACCTCTTTGTAAGTAAATACTTTCTGACGATAGACAAAGTCTTTAAATTAAAAGCTAACATTTTTCAAAAATCAAATCCACATGGTCAAATCAGAGGTCACGATCTGTTTACGCTACTCATGAAAAGGCAACATGTTTATTACGTGACTGGGTAAACATACAAATGTACATTTGAACTGTTATCATCACGAATCATGTAAAAACTGCTAAACACCTCTTTCGAAAACCGTCATGCAGTTTACAACTGAAGTCCATGCCAACACATACTGCTATGACATTGCTTTACTTTCGCAATATGATTTTTCTGATCACTACCATTTGGAAGCTATGGGTTCTACCGACATTACCATTAGGCATGCGGCCAGTCTGCAGTTAATGCCTTGATTGACGACCACTGGCAAGCAAATACAATAACCGTTTTTTTTTTGTTTTTTTTTTACAAAGTAACATAATTAATATGTCATTTATCCTTGAACATGGTAAAGTGTTGACTCCCCATGCCAATGACCACAATGGTTTAAATGGTACAGTATAACCAATGTAAAAAAAAATTTAATTGATGGATGTGATTTGGAACAAAATGACCGTCCCCTGTAAATTTGGTTTTACCTTTGCATATATTTTGGACCTCTCAGTCAGTATAGCATTGCCTTGTTTGTTACCCTGAAACAGAATGACACAAATGACAAGACTTTGATGAATTTTCTAGCACTAAAACAGCCGCCACTCGGCCATCTTGAATTACAAAACAAAAGCACATGCATATGTACCCCCAACGTATGATGTAAGTGTGAGGTATGAATGATGTCAGTTTCGACATGTCTGAGATACAGATAGGGATGAACGCACAGAGGTTAAATTACAAGACCTGTTTTCAGAATTGTCTGAACAGAGACTAAAACCACCAATGCAACTGCAACTAAAATAATTTGAATTTTTAAGTACAGCACTACTGTCTTTTTGTACGATAAGATATTACTATGAGGTTATTACGGTGATATTGCAAAGTATACACGAAGACAATACAGCAAGAGTATTGGCTGACGCGCAGCGGAGGTTGATGCGACCGTATACCATCTGAGAGTATCTTCATAATATTATTATTACATACATGTAATAAGCCATGTTTGTTTTCATTATTAGAGGACGCTTACGCGCCTAATCGTTCCATATTTGGAATTCACATTTCCTAATATAGTAGGATGAAAATACCCTGTAAAATACCACAAAATTATGGCACGCTGTAACTTATGGCATTATAATGACAGATGTATAATAATGATATTTATTTGATACAAAATTATGTATAAAATCAGATGACTGTATGCAAATGAGACCATTCTTCGTTCATATGACCATGGAACTAAAAACACATGGTATGTTGTAATTTTTTGTACGAATTAGACCCAGCTAGTGTTCCCTCCAGGTCAGACAACTTCATTCGGGTTCTCCCTGGGGTCACAAACGCGTTAAAGGATGTTTCGGATTGGTGTCACCTGGCACAAGGGGGCGATATAGCACCGTGACCGGGTCTTAGCCGCGACAGTATTGTTTTTAAAGTTCAGTGACTTACGCGGTGCTATTATACAAAAGAACGTTGATCTGATTTTGTTATGGTAAGAACCAAAGACCATGTAAAAATGTGAAAATGAACTAAGGAATTTGACTAGTCACTGTACTTGTATGAGCATGAAGCTAAAATGTATTTGAGGCAGCCTTCGTACTGGCACTGTGTGACTTCAACTTTGGAACCGTAACGACCAAAGCCTGCGATCACATTCGCGATCTACAATGGCGTACGATTTGTGGCAGTAGACGGCAATTCAAGTGCCGATGAGAAATACATTCACTTACCTTTCTTGAAAATAGGTACTGATCTTTAAGTTCACGTTTATTCGCAATAACAGCCTCCCCTAACACAGTCGCCATGTTGATAATTTCGAATGAAGAGCCACAAAAGCGAGGACAAACAATTAACCAATCACAGACGGTCTTTTGTAGCCTACGTTTATGAGCTTACCATAGGCAATAGTTGATTGGTCAGTTAAAATTAAATTCCAACTAACATTTTTTTTTATGGATTTTAGACCAGATAATAAGCGGTCAGATTGTTTGCGAAATTTGAGATATTTTGTTTTTCATCTCTGTTCGAATTTTTCTTTTAGTAACTAACCGAACGCGGCTAATTAGAGAAAATAAATATGACGAACAAATTGTCATTGCGAGTCACGTGATGTAATAACCTGATAAAAGTATGTTTGTCGCGAAATACATATATAGATATATATACACACGATACCCCAACAAAGGGGCACGGGACCGGCGACCGCGATTTGTCCTGGTTATTTTAGGGGGGATGACATTAGAATTGTATATTGACGAGTTGTCACCTCCCTGTAGATCGGTGTTGTTGTTCTGTGAGGCTAATGTTATACTGTACGAGAAAAACATCCTAAATATTGTCAAAGGTCGGTCTAACAAAGTGTTTTGGTGTTTAAAAGGAAGTACTTGTGGTAATTACTAGCAGTATGCGTGTGACGCGTGCTACACAATTTAGCAAGAATGAATTATTTCCTATTATTGTTTCAAGCACAGTCCCTCTGAGGGACTTTGTTTCAATAATGATTTTTTCATTCTTAGCATTTTTGCAAAATTTATTTTCTATATTTTTGATATGTTTTTAGTACTGTAAGTTTTTGTTGTATGAATGTTTTGTTATTGTTATTTTTGGACTTTACTTAAGATTTCATTGGTACGTTCCAAATAAAAAATTCTAATATAAAATATCAATCATTAGGGGTCAACCATTTGATATCATGGTGTGAAAAATGCATTTTCATGGAAGTAAATCGTTCGGGTACAACCATTTGAAATCATGGGGTGGCTGGGAGAGTGTGAAAAGTGCATTTTCATGGAAGTAAATCGTTCGGGCTTAACCATTTGAAATCATGCCTTGTGGCTGGGAGAGTGTGAAAAGTGCGTTTTCATGGAAGTAAATCGTTTGGGTACAACCATTTGAAATCATGGGGGTGGCTGGGAGAGTGTGAAAAATGCATTTTCATGGAAGTAAATCGTTTGGGTACAATCATTTGAAATCATGGGGGTGGCTGGGAGAGTGTGAAAAGTGCGTTTTCATGGAAGTAAATCGTTTGGGTTCAACCATTTGAAATCATGGGGCGGCGTGGAGAGTGTGAAAAGTGCATTTTCATGGAAGTATATCGTTTTGGTTCAACCATTTGAAATCATGGGGATAGCTTCGAGAGTGTGAAAAGTGCATTTTCATGAAAGTAAATCGTTTGGATTCAACAATTTGAAATCATGCTTTGTGGCTGGGAGAGTGTGAAAGTGCATTTTTCATGAAAGTAAATCGTTTGGGTTCAACCATTTGAAATCATGGGGGTGGCTGGGAGAGTGTGAAAAGTGCGTTTTCATGGAAGTAAATCGTTTGGGTACAACCATTTGAAATCATGGGGGTGGCTGGGAGAGTGTGAAAAGTGCGTTTTCATGGAAGTAAATCGTTTGGGTTCAACCATTTGAAATCATGGGGGTGGCTTGAGAGTGTGAAAAGTGCGTTTTCATGGAAGTAAATCGTTTGAAATCATGGGGGTGGCTGGGAGAGTGTGAAAAGTGCGTTTTCATGGAAGTAAATTGTTTGGTTCAACCATTTGAAATCAT